AGAGGGCGTTTAATGTGGCCATGGGGGTCAGATCAGTGAGATCCAGTCAGGGTTTACAGTGACAGGCCGTGGAGGAGGCTTCATTGTTCAGGCTGTTTGAAAATGGCCCGCAGCTGCTATCACTGAAACATCATCCGATTATTAGGCTTACGCTTGTTTGAGCTTATTGCTTTTGTGTCAGGTGAGCAGAGGATTTAGGCTCCAGAGACCTTCGGATATCAGGGATTTTTATTTTCACGCTCGCGTTGCTTAAACATAGGCTTGTCTGATTAGAGTTGATTATAAATTGCCTTAAGGCTGCAGAGGAAATGAATATTGAGAATTTAAATGAAGTCTGTTTTTTACTGTATCATGAAAAAGACCATTTTTATTCTTTTTTTTAAATTTTGTCTGTCTTTTTGTGATCATTATTTTATTATTTTTTCATAAGAGATCAACAGTGAACTAAACTGGGTTGGTTGATATCACTGCAAAACTTTTCTAAATGAGTCATAATTGAAAGATAGTTGAATTGAGAATCTGTATAATTACTTGGAGGAGAACAATGAACAGATATAGAGTACAGATTTTATTTTTAAAAAGTATCTGTCATTTCGTTATTAACAAAAGAATGTATGTGCAAAAACACAATATATTATCAATATATTTCAATATACTTAAATATACTCCTAAATATAACTTAAATATAACTTTTATTTATTTATTAATTCCTTTGCTTTATTCTTTCCTTTTTTATTTACATTTTCATTTTCTATTTCTTCCTACCTTCCTTCATTCCTTTCTTTTTTCCTTCCTTCCTTCCTTCCTTCCTTCCTTCCTTCCTTCCTTCCCTCCTCCCTCTCTCTCGGTCTCTCTCTCTCTCTCTCTCTCTCTCTCTCTCTTTCTTTCTTTTATCCTTCCTTTTTTCCTTCCTCATTTTCCCCTTCTTTCCTTCCTTTTTTCTTCCTTCCTTCTTTCTTTCTTTTTTCCTTTTTTTTCCCTTCCTTCCTTCCTTCCTTCCACCCTTCCTTCCTCCTTTTCCCTTCTTTCCATCCTCCTTTCTTCTTCGCTTCCTTTCTTTATTCTTTTTGTTTTTTCTTTCTTACTTTTAGCCTTTCTTTCTTTCTTTCTTTTTTCTTTCTTTTTCTTTCTTTCTTTTTTCCTTTCCTTCATTCCTTAATTTTTTTCTTTTTTTTCCTTCCATCTTTCTTTTTTTTCTTCCCTTTTCTTTCCTTCCTCCTTTCCGTCCTCATTTTTTTCCTTCCTTCCTTTTTTTCTTTCCTCCTTTTTTCCTTCCTTCCTCCTGTCTTTCTTTTTTATCCTTCCTTCATTCTTTACTTCTTTCTTTTTCCCTTCATTCCTTACTTTTTTGCCTTTTCTTTCCTTCCTTCCCTTCTTTGCTTCTTTCTTTTTTCCTTCCTTTCTTTCTTTCTTTCTTTCTTTCTTTCTTTCTTTCTTTCTTTCTTTCTTTCTTTCCTTCCTTACTTTCTTTCTTTCCTTCCTTTCTTCCATCTTGTTTCCCTTCTTTCCATCTTCCCTTCCTCCTTTTTTCCTCCTTTCTTTTTTCCTTCCTTCTTTCCCTCTTTTTTCATCCTTTCTCCTCTTTCTCCTTTCTTTTTTCCTTCCTCCATTCTTTCCTTCTTCGCTTCCTTTTTTCTTTGTTTTTCCTTCCTTCTTCAATACTTCTTTATTTTTCCCCTTACTTCCCTTTGCTTAATCTTTCTTTCTTTCTTTCTTTCTTTCTTTCTTTCTTTCTTTCTTTCTTTCTTTCTTTCTTTCTTTCTTTCTTTCTTTCTTTCTTTCTTTCTTTCTTTTCTTTCCCTTAATCTGGAATTTCAATTTATTATTATTATTATTATTTTAGGAAAAAGAAAAATTGTATCTTCTATATCACTTTAAAAAATCATTTCTAAAGTGCATATTGTTATGTACAGGAAGCTGCTTTAAAACAGTCTTTTTGTGTGTATGTATATTTCAAAGTCACTATACTGTATAAATTACACATGATTAATGTGTAAACAGCATGTAGTGGTTGGTTTAATTATTACAGTGTTTTACTTTAGTTCTGGTCTTGGTCTTGATGTTGTGGGGAGGAGCTTTTGTTGCCAGGCAACAGCCATGATTGACAGGAGTGTTTTGGTGAGAGAGGCGTATAATAATAACGCTATCATATGGTCTGGCAGATTTTGGGCTCAGCACCAGGGATGACAAATGTGCACACGCAATAATTCAATCTGCTCTCCCAGTTCTTCAACTTTTAAGGGGACTTGCGAAGACGAGTACTTGGAGCAATTAAGTTGGTCAGTCATTGTTAATGTGTAGCACCCAAAATATGTGCCAGGTTGTTCACGAAGAAGTGTGTGTGTGCGTTTTTTTTTTTCATGAAAGAGAGAGAAAGTGAAGAAAACTTTGCAGACAGATTGTGATTTGGTGAATGTGTGAGAATGGAAGGTGGTCTGAGAATATCAGTAACTAATTAAAGTTTTCTCCTGTACGTCACTCGCTGAAGATGCTGGGCTTTCAGCAAATAAAGTAAATGATGTTTATGGAGGGAATAGCTGAAGGATATGTATTTATGGCATCATTATTTTTAACGCATTAGCACTTTATTACCAAGGACGTGACCAGATAACATTGTGTGTGCATGTGATGTATAACATGCAATATATGATAGAGACTGATTCATATGTATGGGTCAAACATGGGATGCATTGTACTTTGGTGTTGTCCACATCAAATATAACATAAAAAGCATATTTAGGGCTCTAATTTAATGATTAATGATTAAAGTCTTTAAAATTAAATCAGTCTAAATCCTAATCCACTTTATATTTCAGGATGGGATACATACAGTTTGTGCCACAGTGCATGGTCTAACAGGCGCTTATTCTCTTAGTGAGTTCTGGGTGTGTCTCATCTGTCATTCCCTTTAAGAGTCAGTTGCATCACGCCATGGCACATTTGCTATTTACATGGCCGACTTGTAATTTTTGTTCATTTATTCCTTTGCTGGAAATTAGAACTGATTTTAGAAATAGTTTTGAAACAAATATTGTGCTTAAACAAAAATAGATATGTAGGCTAATGGATGTCTTCAGCGAAGCGCATAAAACAGTTTCCTTATCCATGAAAGTAAAGGAGTAAAGAGTAAAAGTAAAGTACTGAATAAAAAGCTGAATGCTTTACTAGCGAGGATAAAGAACGAGCCTCCTCCATTCAGCCTCTTTACTTTCTCTTTACTTTACTTTTACTCTTTACTCCAATACGTTCGTGGATAAGGAAACTGTTATATGCACTTCGCTGAAGACATCCATTAGCCTACATATTTAATTTAGTTTGTAAAGCACAATATTTGTTTCACAACTATTTCTAAATTCAGTTCTAATTTCCAGCAAACGAATAAATTAACAAAAATAACGATGTGTGGTCAAAAAAACGGAGCTATACCCAAACACGTCTTGTTCTTATGCCCCATATAGTGATGAATACATCTCCAAAACCTGACAGGCAGACAAATCTAAACTTGCTTTTATTAAGCAAATATAAATGTACATATAATTACTACTACTACTACTACTACCACTACTACTACTACTACTAATAATAATAATAATAATAATAACATTATACAAAAGCAAATTGTCATGAATAAACTGAAGAAAGCCCCCCCGAGATTAAGAAGGCATGGAGGCAGTGGTTTTTATATTTATGTAGAAAATAATAATATTGTAAAGTTTTAATCCTTTAGTTGTTTTATGTGTAAAGATATTTGTGTATTAGGTATTTAAGTATTATGTTATTCTCTTCAGAGATTTTTAAAATAAGGTTATTTCTTATATAACTATATTTTTACATTTTTATGAAATTAAAAAAAGCTTATTTATTATGTTAGGATTTTATAGAGTTTGTATAGTGATGTTTTTATGTTCTTGTTAAGTCTGTTGCAACAATTTCGTTCTGCATTACTATTTTATTGTTATGTTTTGAATGACAAAAATTAAGGAAACTGAAACTGATGGCTGTACATCCTGTGTGTAATAAGCAATGTGTAAGCATTATGACCAACATGGGCACAAAACTAAAGCGCTCTGTGCTGGACTTTAGACCAGGTTTTAGTTGGTCAATGACACCGCCTATTTCAGTTTCTCAAAATAGTAACGTGCCAACAATGCGCCTGAACACACCTCCTATTCAGATCAGCACAACCATGAGTCCACAAAGTGATGCAAATACATTTGCTATTTAAACAACATGGTGCAAAACATGAAAATTACTGTTGCACTGGTCTGAAAATAGCAAAAAAAAAAAACATGCCAAACACATCTTGTGCTTTATTATGCTGGTTGTATGATAGGGCCCATCATTTTTGTTGCAGATTTTGCACATATTTTGTTAGCATGTATCATTCATAAATTATTATGAAGAAAAACATCAATTTAATTTAACTGGACACATTTTGAGGGAAAATGTGCTCAGAGATATACTTTTGAGAACCGAGAAATATGTGCTTGGGGCTACATATGTCTGCATTTTGTGTGTAACACGAATGCTATGTGGACTGCAAAAACTTTCATTTAAAGTACCCCATTTTAAGGGGTACCAAAAAGAGGTTCCAAAAAAACCCCATTTAAAGGTACAGGAAAGTAGTTTAAGTGAGATGGATTATATGTCTGGATTAGAACTTCTTGGCCAGACCCTACACTATTTCTAACACTAAGCGAGATGTCTATTAGAGTTTAAACAAAGACTTTTGATTTCTCTTGTTTAAACAAAGGATACTTTAATTAAATAGTAATTTATTTAAAACTTGCACCAATAGGTATCTGCGTGGGCGCCCTCTTGTGGGCAGACATGGATATTCATTCACAGTGGGTATTTTCACCCCTGGCCTAGATCTTCAGAAACAAGACTGCACAACCTTTAACTAAGCTTATGCTTATTAGCTGCTACACTTTTTTTAATATCACCAGATTTTTAATCCTTGACTTTCCATTCTCTCTTTTTCTCTTCTTTCTGTCTAGGAGAAGAAATACACTCTAGTAATGGTAGATCCAGATGCCCCCAGTCGTCAGAATCCCTCTCGTTCTTACTGGAGACACTGGTTACTGGTTGACATCAAGGTAAGTCAGATCTTTAAAACGCATATAGCTTTCTTGAAAGAACATTGTCTATTTTGCTATGGCATGCAGGGTTTGTATGGGTTCTGGGAATCCTTGAAATTGGTTTAATTTTAAATCTTGTACTTTCAAGTTTTGAAAAGTGCTTCGATTTTCAATGTGCTCGGTACCTGTACAAGCAAACTAACCTGCACTGTAAAAAAAATGCTCAGTTCAACACATAGGGCTCAACAATAAAGACTGCCCGATGGCTCGGGGACAGCGTGTGAGACGCTAGGGACAGTAGACAGGATCATTACTGGCCCGATCGGGCCACTGATGCCCTGTCACTAAAGTTTAATTTGCCTGTGACTGTTTGTCAATTGCGTGCAAAAACAGTCAGAATCGAGAAACAGTTTGTGTTTTTAAGCCTTCAAATGCTACCTTCTCAGATCCTCTTGTCTGATTGGATGTTGTGAGCACGTTATTTTTTTCAGTAACAACCAGTACATGAAGAGACAGCAACATGGCGGCAACATCAAATGATGATTCTAAAGGAAAACATTTGTTTCTAATGTCTTAGAAGCAGACATTTACGAGGGTACACCACGACTAAAAAAATGAAGTGATGTTTTGTTCAGTCTGCCGTCAGTTTGGCAGGTCAGACATCTTTTGTTTTGCAATAAAATACCTGCACATTTTGCTACTTTTGTTTGCAAAGCACTTTTAATTTTGCTCATTATACTTGTATTAACATTTTTTTATATATATATTTAAATTCTAGATTTACAAACATTTTGACTTTTTTTTTTTTATTTGTGGCTAAGAAATAGCTATTCACTTTTTTTTCAGTGAAAATATTGGCAGGGCAAGTAAAAATCTGAACCACTGGTTCGATCGGGTCAGTATAACAAATCCTTAGCGTTGAACCCTGAACACAGTCGATTTTGTTTTAGGACAACTTGAAGGAATTATCCAACCCAAGCTCATTCTGAAAACATAGTCCCGCAGACGTTTCTGGAGGCTGCGATTTACGTAGCCGGAGGTATGTATGGCTGCATTTAATTTTTTTAAGCGAACACTATGGGGCGGTGTGACGCTGCTCCTATTTGCGCTCGCCGACTGACAGCTCACCTCCTTGTGGAGGGCTTTCCTGCCCTAACCAGTTTGTCCGGTTAGCTCGTCAGCGCGATCGGCGTGAAGTGGAGAGGAGCTGACTGGGTTCAAGTCCAGAAAAGAGCGGTTCCAGAAATCAGGTAAGACAAAAACAGTATTTCAAAATAAAAGGTGAACGAGTTCATAACAGGGTGAGAATGTGGTGAAATCTGAAAATGCTGTCAAAATCAGACGAGGGCTTTTCTTTTTCTGGACGGCTTTTGTAAATTGTTGCTTGCGTTTAGAGAAGCAAGCGGGCGAGGGGGTCAATCTGTAAAACCGGTTGTGTTTAGGGAAGGAGGAGGTTGGGTCGGCCGATTGGCCGGTCGCCCAGTCAATCATTCAGTCAGTCGGACAGACGGTCACTCGACAGCGGCCTCCAGCGGCTTTTCGCAAGAACATCACGGGTGCGCTCACGTGAGGCATTCAAGATGCAAAAAAGCGCACACAGCGGCCTCCCGAAAACAAAAACTACACAAATACGTACCTCCTGGGACATATTTCGTGGTCTCCAGACATGTCCGCGGGACTACGCTTCCAGGATGAGCCTGGGTTGGAATTATTATTATTATTATTATTATTATTATTAAGTTGTCCCAAAAAGCACAAGAACCCATTTTAAATAAGCCACAAACATCCTTTTTTTTTAATGCAACCCATATCTCACCTTAAGAGCACCAGAAGGATTCTGCAATACATTTCGAACACCATAAGAGCATTGTATTTATTTTTGGATGCAAGTACATTGTAGTAAAGGCTACTTAATATAAAGTGAGTCCAAAGTTTGGAAATGCACCTGTAAAGTGCTTATATTTGACTTTGGAAAAGGTGTAAAAACCTTAGATATGGTGAACCTTCATGCCTATTAATACGAGTCACTGCATTTAATGTGAATAATACAAAGAACAAAGCCTTAAAATTAAGGTTGCTTAAAGCAGCGCATTGGCAGGGACAATCCTGGACATAATGTGCAAAGCAAAAGGTGTCAGAAACACTTTGGTGGGCAAACAATTCCTGGATCGCGTGGACCGTATCTGCACCTTCCATGTGCTTCACACTTGTGCTGCGTTTCCGATGAGTTACATAATTACTGAGTAAAAATATCATGTTAGTCATCAGCGCTCGGCTCCGGCGGGATCTAGAGGCAGATTCATCAGGCTGTGCATGGGGACGCCGCCGTATTTAAACAACCGCGCATGAGACACACTTTAATTGCTCGATATTAAGTCAATATTCTCTCATCCTTCCTTAATCTTGCAGGCGATTTTTATCTTTTTTTTTATTCTCAGATTTTTCTTGCTGCAGTCCTATTGGTTCACAGGGGAGTCCAATGAATCCAATAACTAAGCTCGGGGTTGATATGAAAAATGACTGACATGACACATAGACGCACTGCAGAAACTTGGGTTTGGATTCAAATTACATCTCTCAAGTCAGGTTTTTTATTTTGGAAGTGTTTGTGAGGCATGTGGGTGAATTATTCTCATGTGTAACAGGAATGATTGCACATCAGCTCTTGTTTTACAAAGGAATTACAGACAGGAAAGAGGAGGCCTGCTATTTTTACATGGTTGTGTTGGAAGAATCTTGTGAATCGCATTTGACAGAATTTCCTTATTTATATTCAAACCCTTTTATTTGTGAACTCATAGTTAACATTCCCTCATCATTCAGTCTGGTCACAGAGTTGTTTGAGTTTTGCGAAGGCAAAAGGAGAAGTTTAGAAAAATGTTCAATTTTCTGTTTTATTGGAAATAAAAGTGAACAGGCAGCACTAGATGTGTTACAAAATGAGTTACAAAATGTACCAAATTATTATTATTTTTGTTTTCACCCTTGATGTTAAGCTTAACATTAAGAGTTCAATCCTGTACCTGGAGATCTACTGTATCTTCATGCAGAGTTTAGCTGCAATCTTGATCAATCATACCTGTCTTTCAAGAGTTCACACTTAGATAATGCTTGACTATTTAAGCTAGTTTGGCATGCTGTCCCGGGAGAGAACCCTGAGCTCGGTGATAGATGAGCCCAATACTCCCGCCTGGTCAATAAGCATTTGGAGGGATATGAGATCAGGTAGTTCTTGATAGCTTCCCAAAATAGATCACTAGTTGTGCTAGTTTGTAGTAAGTGCTTGTGACTTTAACTTTTGTTGCATAGTTTTTGAGTGTGGGAGGAAACCGGAGTACCCGGGGAAAACCCACGCGAACACGGGGAGAACATGCAAACTCCGCACAGAGAGTATCGGTTGGCTCAGCTAGTGTTGAACCAATGACCTCCTTGCTGTGGAGCAACAGTGCTAGCCACCGAGCCACCGTGTTGCCCAAACTGAGGAGGAGGGAGAAGGGATGGATGGGGGGGGTTCCCAAAACGAAGATGAGGAATGAAGTTTAGGCTGGATATTTATATTGAATTTAGAGTGATCCGATTGGCTAGTTAGTGATTAGTGATAGGGATCAGCTGTAGTCAATCCTATCACGTGCTCCTCTTGAAATTAGTTTGAGAAACGTCACCTAATTACAAAGTGCTTCTTCAGATCCTAGTTGGTTTACTTGCATTTGATCAGGAGCTGAGCTATGCAGGAAGGTATATCTCCAGGAACTGGATTGGGCACTCCTGATTTATACATAACTTTAACATTCATTTACAGTATTTAATGTAGGTACATTATAATTAACTGTAAATTCAGTTTTAATGTCTATTAAGTTTAAATTACCTGAATTAAAAAACTAAATTAATAATGAAATATTACCTGAAGAAAATTTAAAATTAAATTTAATTGAGATTACCTGTAAAACTGAATTTACAGTTAATTATAATGTGCCTACCTTAAATACTGTACATGAATGTAACAGTTGTATATAAATAAATTCAGAGAAGCAGGTTAATAGAACTTTTAATTACACTTATGAGGATGATTTCACATGCTTAAGAAAAAATAATAATTCATTCATAAAAATAAAAATATAAGGAATGCATTCAGAGAAGCAGAGGATTTGGGGCTGAATCGTGATTACTTGCATTGTTATGCACAAAAAGCAAAAATGATTTTGTTATAATGATGCATTAGGCACATTTATTTTATGAGTAGGTGTAAAAAAAAAATAAATAAAATAAAAAAATTCCCATAACGTTTTAGCAATTAAAATAATTTAAATATCAACTTAAATGGTGATCAAATTGAATTTACCACCAAATATATTTGTCACTGCCCGGATGTAAAAATGTTACCTAATTTGTAATAGAAATTAAGCTATACTCAGATTTTAGAAGCTTGATATTGATAGACATTGACATGATGTACATTTTGCTTTGATTGTTCAGCATTTGCACTGTACCTGTAACGACGGGGAGTGACACCAACAACAGAAATTTGGATCCACGTGCAGGTTTATTAGAATTGTCAAGCAAGCAGTGGTCAATACCGGCAAACAGATGTATGAGGGCAATCCAGAGTCAAGGTCAAAACAATAGGCAGTTGGTCAGAGGCAGGCAGCAAACAGCATTAAATAAATAAACAAGGCAAAGATCAAAACACGGGAAACCAAGACCAGGATAACGCGTTGTAATGTCACCTTACAGATAAACAAGACTCGGCAAACTGAATGAGTAAATGTGTGTCTTAAATAGTGTGTGTTAATCATTCTTTGAAAGTTCTCAGGTGTACTAAAGTAATCAAGCTAAATGAGGAAGCAGGTGTGTGGGCGAAGAGCATGTATGAAGTTGAAGTCCATTTACTGGCAGATTTGTAGTTTCATGAGTGAGTGTTTACCAGCGACATCTGGTCGTTTGTTCACTGGTAAACATGACAGTACCATTGCACACACTTTGTAACATTTTATTTATCTATCAAGTTCAAGAGTGACTTT